CTTAGCAACAAATAAAGGCAATAGGTTCCATGCTCAATAGAATTCACTGGTCTTACCATGTTCCTCAGCATCCTGATGCAGTTGGCTTCAAACAATGGTGGGGTGGCAACACCTTCCAGGGCTAGAGCCAGATTCTCTAGGAGGTTGTAAATGCTGGGAATCAGCATCCAATGCATGGTGCTTTTTCTTCCATAGTGAGGTGGTAGCAAGAGTGGTGCCATTTACTATTATTCTTTTTTGTGGCACTAGGGTTTGAACTCGGCCTCACACTTGCTAGGTAGGCTCTGTTACTGCTTAAGCCACTCCACCAGCCATACTACTACCCTTAATAATCCACTAGCCATTACTAAGGGTAAGGGATAAAGTTTTTGTTTCTTGTCCTTATCACCTTAAATTCTGCTGGCCTACATTTCTCAGTTCCAAAGGCAGGAAAGACACAACATTAATTCCCCTAAATTGGACATTAAGACTTCCACTCAGCCACTTTGGGATCTTCGTGCCTCTGAATCAACTGACAAAAGAAAGGAGTTACTATGCCAGGTGGTGTCACTGATTCTGAATAGCAAGGGGAAAATGGACTGCTACCTCACAATGGAGGTAAGGAAGGGCATCTCTGGAATACAAGAGATCCCTAAGGGCATCTCTTAGTAATATCATACACCGTAATTAAAGTAGTGGAAAACTATAACTTCCCAATTGAGGCAGTTCTACTAATGGGCCAGACCATTAGGTCTAATTAATGGTCTTTGGTTCACTACACAAGTATGAACTACAACAAGCTATGGTGCTTGCTATGGGCAAAAAGTATCTGGAACTGAAGAAGTTAGTTGTAAATATCAACTGTGCCTACATGACCAGTTATACAAATGAGGTTATGAGTAGTTCTTCCTTGATTTTGTTATGAATATTAAGCATGTCTTTTTTCTTCCCTCTTATTCTTTTATCACGAACAGAAGATGTATAGACTTTGTATCAAAAATATATTTAAATACTATTTACATTTTAATATTTAAGTTACAGGATAATAAGAAAAGTAATTATTGCCTAAGGACTGTGGTTGAAAGAGATACTATATTTCTGGTTGTACGCAGGATACTTGTATCATGTTAAGTGAAGTATGACCTTTTAATTATCTTTATTTGGATATTAAGTACAGTTTCAAAAATGTATATGAGTGTCAGGTTGACAAAGAGTGGGCATGATGGTTAGTTTTATGTGTTAACTTGGCTTAGAACACACTACCCATTTGGTAAAACAGCAATCTTCATGTTGCTGTGAATGTATGCTTTGGATGAGATTACATTCTTGTTCAGTAGACCCAAAAATAAAACCACACAGCTATACCCATCTGATCTTTAACAAAAAATGCCAAAAGTATACACTAGAGAAAAGACAGCCTCTTCAATAACTGGTGCTGGGAAACTGCTTATCTATATGTAAAAGACTAAAACTAGACCCTTATCTCTCACCCTGTACAAAAATCAACTCCAAATAGATTAAAGATCTTAATGTAAGGATTGGAGGTGTGGCTCAAGTGATAGAATGCCTGCCTAGCAAGCAGTTCAAACTCCAGTATGGCCAAAAAAAAAAAGAGATCTTAATATAAGACCTGAAGCCTTGAAATTACTATAGGACAACACAGGGGAAACTCTGGAAGATACAGACATAGGTAATTATTTTCTGAACAGGACTCCAATTCCTCAGGAAATAAGAACAAGAATTGACAAATGGGACTGCATCAAATTAAACAGTCTCTGCACATCAAAAGAAACAATTACCAGAACCAAAAAACAAAGGGGGAAAATCTTTGGCAGCAACTCAACATATAAAGGATTAATATCCAGAATATACAAAGAGCTCAAAAACTAAACAGCAAAAGAATAATCCAATTAATAAATGGGCAAACTGGACAGTTCTCAGAAGAAATACAAATGGCTAATAAATACATGAAGAAGTATTCAATATCCTTAGCTATAGCAAATCAAAACTACACTCAGATTCTATCTCACCCAGTCAGACTGGCAATCATTAAGAAAGAAACAACAAATGTTGGTGAGGATGGCAGGGGAAGGAAACCCTCATACACTGTTGGTGGGACTGTAAAGTAGTGCAACCACTATGAAAATCAGTATAGAGGTTCCTCAAAAAACTAAAAGTAGACCTACCTTATAATACCACCATACCACTCTTGGGCATATATCCAAAGGAATATAAATCAATGCACACAAGAGTGATACCTGCATACCCATGTTTATTGAAGCTCTCTTCATAATAGCTAAACTGTGGAATCAGTCAAGGTGCCTAGCAACCAATGAATGGATAAAGAAAATATGGTAAATATACACCATGGAGTATTATTCAGGCAAAAAGAATAATGAAATTATGTCTTTTGCAGGAAAATGGATGGAACTGGAGATCACTGTGTTGAGTGAAATAAGCTAAGCTCAAAAAAAGTCAAATATTGCATGTTCTCACTCATTTGTGGAACCTAGATCTAAAATGATAATAATAGTAATAATGGGACATGAATGTGAAAGGGGGACAGTGGGAGGGATCACCAGGAGGAAAGAGAGGAAAGGAAATGATACTGAGGGGTAAAAAGGATCAAAATATGCTACATATATATATTCGAAGACACATAATGAAAACCACCAAACACTGTTTGAAAAAGAGGGTTGAAGGGAGGGAGAGGATGGGAATATAAAAAAGGGGTGAACGTGTTCAAAGTATACTGTATGCAGGTATGGAATTACCACAATGAAACTCCCTTGTATTATTAATGTATGCTAATTTAAAATATAATAAAACTACTAAAAAAAGACTGACTTCCCAAGGAAGAGGGAATTCTGTCTTGTCACTGCTTTCTAACTTCAACAGCAACATTAATTCCTTCCTAGGTCTCTAGACTATCTGCTTGCTTTCAAGACTTCAGTCCCACCAACCTCCACAATTGGTTGAGCCTCTTCCCTAAAATAAATCCACCTCCATCTCTTTCTGTCTCTTTTTCTACACACACACACACACACACACACACACACACACACACACTTAATTGGTTCTATTTCTCTGGAAAACCCTAACATGCACACACACATATAGGGAAATACCTACCTTAGCCGAAATTGATATTTTAGGATGCACTCTTAACAATTTTTATTTTAACCTTTCAGGTCTAAATCTTTAATGAAACTAAATATACTAACCTACTTGAAAGGCAGAGACAGAAGGATCACAGTTTGAGGCCAGACTGGGCAAAAAGAACAAGATCCTACCTGAAAAATAACTAAAGAAAAAGAGGGCTGGAGGTGTGGCTCAAGTTAGAGTGCTTGCCCTGAGTCCAAATCCTAGTACTGCCAAAAAAAAAAGAATATCAACATATCTGGGGATATTTATGTGAGCACTATTTAGAAAACAGTAATATGATCACTGAAAATTACAAGTGACCAAAACATGCATAAGGAGCTCATTTGTTGGAATGCTCTATTGCAATTCTGGCTAAAGAATGAAATGACATTTTTTGCAGTGGTGGGAATTAATCCCACAGTCTCACATATACAAAGAAGCACTGTACCACTGAGCTACATCTCCAACCTCTGAAATTTTAAAAAGAAACAGAAGAGAACCAAACACAGCAACAATAACAACAAAACTCTCAAAAAACCAAGACCTACACTATATATATAATTTCCTGAGACAGGGTGAGGGGGGAAAAGCTAAAAACAGTACCAGATACTCAAAAGTAGTTTTCTGAATCAAATATAGAACCCTGTTCAAATGGTTTTTCAAAGCCTGTAAGCTAATCTAGGGTAAAACACTGGAAGCAATCCTGCATCAAGTCATAATGAATACTATGCAAAATAGTAGAGCAGAGATAGGAGACTCACAGTTTGAGGCCAGCCTGGACAAAAACTTAATGAAACCCTACTCAACAAGTCAGGTATGATGGTGCATACATGGGAGGCGGAAGTAGAATTGTAGCCCAAGGCCAGCCCCAGGCAAAAATGCATGATCCTATCTGAAAAAAAAAAAAGCAAAAAGGGCTGGGGGTGTGGCTCAAGTGATAGAGAACTAGCCTAGCAAGTGCAAGGCCCTGAATTCAAACCCCAGAACCAAAAATAGTAATAACAAATAAAGGCTGCTTAGTGATGTCACATGGTCAGATTCTTACCCAATTTTGAAAATTACTTGCTAAGTGAATACTGTCTTTCCCTTACCATGGAAATATATTTAAGAATGTTTTTGAGATAGGGTCTTACCATGTTACCCAGGATGGTCTGGAACTTGTTGGCTCAAGCAATCTTCCCACCTAGCCTCTCAAGTGGCTGTGACTACAGGCATGAAACACTATGCTCAGCTAAGAGTATTTGTTAAAACAAATGACAGGATTTCAATTTGCAGGTTTACTCTATGAATAGAGAATTTTTAAACCTGTTGAAACCACCATAAGAAGAGAACGAAGATAGGATGAAAGAAAAAAAATAGAGATGAACCAATTTGGGTTATAATACATACTTACATAGAATTGTCACAAGGAAACTTCCTTTGTAGCTATCTTAAACAAAAATGTCATTTTTTTTTTCTTTTACAAAATTGGAGAACAAGAGCATGGAACAGGTCCTTGTCTGGGAGGATTGGTACCACTGGGAGGCGGGAGGAGGTGGGAAAAGGGTGTGGGAGGGTGACTATAATGAAAACACTGTGTACACATGTGTATACTGTGTACACAGGGGGGAGGGGGATAAAGGAGAATGGTGGAAGGGGAGAATTCAGTATGATATATTTGATATAAGAATTTCTGTAAATGCCACAATGTACCCCCACCCAGCACAACAGTAAAAAAAAATTTTTTAAGAAAATATAAAAAAAAAAATAAAAATAGTAAGTTTATTCTAGGCTTTTTTTTTCCAAAAAAAAGAATGCTACAAATTTACCTGTACTTCTATCAAAGAAGGTTGCAAAGCAAATCAACCATTTGGTACAGCATCTTTTCTGTTTCTTACCAGGTCCCGTTGATCCTCCTGTACCAGATCCATTTTGTGAACCAAGCAAAAGATTTTGGCCTCTGGAGAGTTCTGCAGAATGGCCTCCAAGCATGACTGATAATAGTGCATATCCTTTTCAAGTTCACGGCTCTCCACATCAAAGACATAAATCAGAACTTCCACATTTCGGAAGATGTTGTCACGTTGGCTGGTGAAATAATTTTCCATGAAGGTGTCTTGTCTGTTAGGAAAAAATATCTAGGTAGTAAAGAAGTCCTCAGCTCAATCACTCCTGCTTATGGTCTACCCTTGTTAGCTTGATCAAAGTAAAATACAACCTTAAGACTTCAATTTAAAAGGCAACTAATAGCAAACAGGTTTGACCTTATCTTATCTCTTGAGCTGCAACTTGCAAACTTACACCAACCTCTGCCCCTCTCCTTGTATTCTAAACACACTGACCTCTCTGTTCCTCAAGTGGCCCATGGATTATCCACCATGGTGCTTTTACACATGCTGTTCACTCTGTCTCAGATGCCTCTTCATCTAATTATCTCCTACTTGTGCCTTTAGATCTCAATTCAATCCACACTTCCTCACAGAAACCATCCCTCACATCCCTTACTTGGGCCAACTCACTCATCATAGGCACTTCTACCAATGTATTATTCTTATTTCCAACACTTACCACAGGTATGATATTACATTTGTTTATATGGGGTTTTAATTAATGACACTACTTTCCTAGACAATAAGGCCATGACTCTGCCTGGTACAATTCCCCATCATTTCTTGGCTTTTAAGAGTATTAGATGCAGAATGAACATTTGTTGAGTGAATAACTTCATAGCCAAACATTCTAAATTCTATAAATATGAGTTCAATGGTAACTTCTCAGCAGAATGTTGTTTCTTACTCCATAGTCTGGGTGCCACTTCCCAAGCAGTTCTCAATTAACTACTGGACAGCAGAAAACAATAGCACTGCATAATGGAAGAAAAGTCAGGCATCTAGATATAATGCTGCATCTAGCTGTTAGATGTGTGACCCTAGACTTCAGCTGCCTTATCTCTTGACACAGATTAGAGAATTGGAAGCAATGACAATGAGGAAGGATTTATATGGAAAGGGCTGTTGGGGAATTAAGTGATTCATGTGTTGGCAGGAATAGAATCATTTTCTTAGACAGTATTTAGCTATTACATTATTCTTTCAACAAATAGTCACTGAGCACACCTATTCTATGTTAGGATGTATACTAGGAGCTGGGGAATACTGAGCTAACAACATATCTATTTTGTGAGACATTGTGGTATGAGTTTTGTATATATTATCTTACTTAATCAAAATAAACCTATGCACTGGTATCATTACTATCCTTCTTGTATAAAGAAGCTGTGGCTAAATAGTTTATGGGATCTACCCAAGATAAAACAGCTATCAGAGCTGTGATATAAACCCCAATGTAACTCTAATGCCTGCATTCCTAATCACCGTTCACTATATCCTGCTGCTTCGGCAGAGATGCAAATAGCCATTGGGTAGGGAGCAACATCAACATACAAGCATAGTGACTGTGCATTTGTGATGGTATTTGGTGAGTGCCTTGGTCATAAGAGAAAGTACTTTCTTCTACTCTTCCAACAGTGAGCAACTCAGCATGGGAATACATGCTCAGAGTCTAATTTATAGTGCTGAGACTACCTGGAAATAATCACTGAAATAAATAATAACAACGCAGTATGGTGTGAAGCTAAGACCTCTCAGCACTGGTGTCAGACCACCTGAGGCAGAAATCTAATTTATCTGGAGGCTACTTAAAAAGCTATACATTGATCTATCATACAATCCAACAATACCACTCTTGGGGATATATCCAAAAGGATGTGACACAGGTTACTCCAGAGGCACCTGCACACCCATGTTTATTGCAGCACTATTCACAATAGCCAAGTTATGGAAACAGCCAAGATGCCCCACTACTGACGAATGGATTAAGAAAATGTGGTATTTATACACAATGGAATTTTATGCAGCCATGAAGAAGAATGAAATGTTATCATTCGCTGGTAAATGGATGGAATTGGAGAACATCATTCTGAGTGAGGTTAGCCTGGCCCAAAAGACCAAAACTCGTATGTTCTCTCTCATATGCGGACATTAGATCAAGGGCAAACACAACAAGGGGATTGGACTTTGATCACATGATAAAAGCGAGAGCACACAAGGGAGGGGTGAGGATAGGTAAGACACCTAAAAACCTAGATAGCATTTGTTGTCCTCAACGCAGAGAAACTAAAGTAGATACTTTAAAGCAACTGAGGCCAATAGGAGAAGGGGACCAGGAACTAGAGAAAAGGTTAGTTCAAGAAGAATTAACTTAGAAGGTAACACACATGCACAGGAAAGCAATGTGAGTCAAGTCCCTGTATAGCTATCCT